ACGTTCACGCAAAGAAAGAAGGCGTAACTTTTATTCTCGCTGTAGTATTGTTGCTGCCGCACACAGTAATCACAGCACACCTGGCTTTTCAGACCGATGAGCTTTGTACAAATCGACGCGTTTCAGAAAGGCGGGACATAGAGGAGAAACAATAACGTACAGTATGTGGAAAATAATATGTTTTTTGAACCTTTAACCGCATAAACACATTGCATTACACCAAATACACCAAATAATGTTCTTTTTAGCAGCATCATATGACCCCTTTAAATGTATTTATAGTCATGCGCAGACATTAATGATATTTTCATGAATATTAATTACTTTTTGGACTGAGTGTTTCTGCATTAATTCTGTAGGCAATCACAGCAATAGCCTCTTTTTCCATCATAACAAAGTACATCACACGCCATTTAAAAAATCCAGAATAACATTATTACGGTTCGAGACAGCTGAAGGTTTGTTTGTTTAGTTTTACTGCATTTTCTGCAATTAGGTGCATATATTTATTTAATTGGTAGCACTTTAAGGTACATTTTATACTTTTTTTTTTTTCATGTCAACTAATGTAGTTAACTAATGAAACCTTATTGTAAAGTGATGCCATTTAATTTTGTCCGCCAAGTTACATTTTATATTAAAGATATTTCATTAAAAAGACTATATTTAGATCATTTGTATTTATTGAATGTTTTCATGATTTATTTATTTTTGTACGCTGTCGAACACTTATGCTTTGTTCTCTTGTATTAAACTTCTCAACAAGAAAGATCGACACTGGTTTCATTCGATCAGCATCTTGCTGTGTTGTCCTTGTGTCACTTGTTGTAATTGTAACGCATTGATTGGTGTTTGTGCACCACTGCAGGTCAAAGGTCAGATCCAGCGTTCAGCATGGCATCAGGCAGCGTGAGCAGCGAGGAGGAGAAGAGTCTGAGGGAATGTGAGTTATACGTGCAGAAACACAACGTCCAGCAGCTGCTGAAGGACTGCATCGTGCAGCTGTGCACCTCACGACCCGACAGACCCATGGCCTTCCTCAGAGAATACTTCGAAAGGCTGGAAAAGGTTTGCACTTATTCGTACAGAATTCATGACATGACCTAAAAGTAACAGATCAGTAAACATCAACAACAGTTGGCCCATGCGGTAATGCACAACCACATGTATCTTTGTTTTTATATATATTTATATTCATGCATCTTCATGTGCAGGAGGAAGCTAAGCAGCTCTTAAACCAGCAGAAGGCCAGTTCTCGCTCAGACTCTCGTGAAGATGAGGTGTCTCCTCCCATGAACCCGGTGGTGAAGGGCCGCAGGCGGAGAGGAGCCATCAGCGCTGAGGTCTACACCGAGGAGGACGCCACCTCCTACGTCAGGAAGGTCTGTATCTCTCAGAATGACGTAATGTCTCGTGTGTTGGACTCCATAGGTCAATCGGTCGTGTTTTCTGTCTTCTCTGTGAAGGTCATTCCTAAAGACTACAAAACCATGGCTGCTCTCGCCAAAGCCATCGAAAAGAATGTGCTCTTCTCACATCTGGACGACAATGAAAGAAGGTGACTTAGTGTTTTAGTTCCTTTATCCATTATTTTGTTTTTTAGGCAGGACACTACAGGCAAAACTTTTTTTTTTCCCCATGGACTGGTCAGTTTTTTCCCCCAGACTAGTGAAAAGGAAAATGCAAAACAAACTTTTAAGTGTTTATTTTATTGCACGTTATCTATATGTGTTTAGATTCTTTAAAGGCCATGATTATTTTTTCCACTTAAGCAACATTTTCATACACCAAACACTGTCATTTGCATGATTTTATACAACATTGTATTCCTAAAAAAAATACAGTTTTTTTTCTTTCTGATTTAGGGAGTGATAAAAAGAGAAATCCAAAATCACCTGTGTAAAAATATTGAAACTGGATTTGATTTTTTTTCAGGATATTTATGTGAATTATCTCATATTTAATTAGAAAATGCTTCATTTGCATATTTAAACATAACATTTCCGAAAACATGTAATACAAAAATGTTGTTTTTTTCTCGAAACATAACGACTTTATTCTCGAAATTTAACGAGTTTATTCTCAACATTTTATCTCGACTTTTTTCTCGAAATTTAACGATTTTAATCTCGAGATGGTTTTATTTTTTTATTATTGCTTGGCCCTAATCCTCTTCCGTAAAAGAGAAATCCAAAATCGCCTCTGTAAAAATATTGAAACTGGATTTGAATTTTATCCTGGATATTTATGTGAATTACCGCATATTTAATTAGAAAATGCTTCATTTGCATATTTAAACATAACATTTCAGAAAACGTGTAATACAGAAATGTTTGTAACTCCTAATGAAATCAAGCAACAGGGGAAGTGTGGTGATGTAAAAGACATAAAATAACTTACTGACCAAATTTGTCTTCTGTTTTACCCTACAGTGACATATTTGATGCCATGTTTCCAGTCACCTACATCGCAGGAGAGACTGTCATCCAGCAAGGTAGAGCTTTAAAAACACTGATGAGCAATCATATTGACCTTATTTATACATTGATTTACCTTTGCTGTTTTGTTTCACACTTGTTTCCTAGGTGACGAGGGTGATAACTTCTATGTCATCGATCAGGGTGAAATGGATGTGAGTTATCCTAAACACATCTTCACATAAAAACAACCTAAGAGTGCCACCCTGGATTTGTTCTCAATCAATACGGCACATTATGCAGGTACAGCAGGTCATGAGTGCGTTTCCTCACAGGTGTATGTGAACAGTGAGTGGGCCACCAGCATCGGGGAGGGCGGCAGCTTCGGAGAGCTGGCACTGATCTACGGCACCCCGAGAGCCGCCACTGTCAGAGCCAAGACCAACGTCAAGCTCTGGGGCATCGACAGAGACAGCTACAGGAGAATACTGATGGTACAGCTGCCCTTTACACACACACACACACACACAACAATACTCCAAAACATCCTTCTGTCCTGTGTTTGATCATAGGGAA